CTCGCGTGTCTCTAACCACCCTCCTGCCCTCATCATCCAGCTCTTTCCTGTCCTTCCACAAGGCCCACTGGTAGGAGGTGGAATCCAGCTCTGTGAGAGTTTCTATGCTCCTGTGAATACTTCGAATTGACAAGCCTGGAGGGATTGCACTGGGGAGGGGGGCAGCGAAATCTCTCTTGGCCTTTGCAGGCTGCAGATAGCATCCTTCTATATAATACCTTATTATCTGCCTCTGCTTTCCAACGTCCCATGAGAAACCTTACCACCTCATCTCACAGCTCACCGGTAGAGAACTAGGGAGAAGGTATCTGGGGCATGTTGCTTGATTTTTAATTACCAGTAGGGCTATCAGCCCTTTTTAATCCTGTCCAGTTCAGGACAGCCTGTCCAGCAAGTGAGAGGTGTAATTTCTGGCACAAACTCATCCCAGATGGCGAATAACACCAGCAGTGAAGGCACAGCAACACAGCTTCCACCTTGTCTCCTCACCACTCCCTATACCAGGGCTGCCAGCAGTGGGTCCTCAGTGCTGCTGTTATTCTGTCTAGACTGTGGTTACTCTGGGAAACTTTGGATATGCTGCAGATGCTCCCCGTGGGGACAGGTCAGCCCAAACTGTGTGATACAAGACTCTCCATAGGGTGACTACAGTGGTCCCCTTTTGACCTTGAAATCTAAGAGACTGGGTCTGCTGCATTACAGAGATTTAGCATCCCCCTGTGCAGGTGGCTTCCACCATACCTACGAGGGAAAGAAGTCCATGTGCCACTGAACTCCAGAGAAGCATTAGCTTATTGGTCCACAATGAGGGGTGAGATTCACCCCAAAACTGAGTATTTTCATCTCTATTTCCTGCAGAAGGTGCTGTTCTACAGTAGCGTTGCTTCCTGCAGAAGTGCCAGTGCCAAACATTTCCTTCATTTAATATGGGTGCTAGGAAGCAAAGTCCGAAATTTGAGTGCTTTATCTTCTTTAACAAGGTTTTAAATAAGCTGATACACACAGACACAGACACTCACATGCACTTGTTCCATCTCTCTTGGTTTGCCTTCATGTGATGTTAAGTATTTCTAGCCTGAGGCGAAAGACACTCGGCTCATCAGTTCAGCTGTTGAGCAGATCCCTTGTTTTAGGACGAAGCATTAGCTGAAATAATAAACATTCTCCAAGCAGATCATAAGCTATTCCAGATGCCTGTGGCAAGCCCAAGGTGGAACACAAGCGAAGAAAACAGGAAAGGGTACAAGGATGCTGGACTTTACTGAGAACATATAGTGGAGTGGCTGCTGGAATAGATGCAACATTTCCCCTTCCTCATGTGCCCTGTAAATCACATTGCCTTAGTTCTCCACAAGGGGAGCTCCCCAGCTCTCCCACCTTTTGTGCTGCACGCTGAACATGCTCAGCTCTGCAAATGAAATGATTCTGACACATGGCTTTGCTTCCTCTGGGAGTCTGTGAATTGGGATACAGCATCCATCTTAAATGAAAGCACCGTTGATTTTATCAGAAGGGGCAAAGCTGTAAAGAGCAGAGGATTTTTAAAAATCTGCATACACATGTCTATCCTACCTGAAAGTTTCTTGCCCCTATTAGCAACCTGAAAGCCATGACAAGGTTTCCAATTTTCATCTCAGTGGGAGTGGAAGATTTGTAAAGTGATCCACCTCATCAAACTTTCTGTGCCTTCAACACCTTTAGAGTCACCTTTAGCGTCAACAGAGAGAACCAAACACTCTCAGGGTGTGATTCTTCCTGTTTATTTAGACAAACACTTGCAAGGAAGTGGACCACACCTCCAACTCCCCTGTTATTAGCTTGTTCTCAAAAGGAGCCCGAAGTGAAGTGCTCACATACATGGATATACAGGGTCCGCTCTCAGGATGAAGATATCCATCTCTCCAGATTTCTGAGAAGCTGTGAGGATTAATTAACATGTTCTCATTCATCATGAGATGTGCAGACCAGATGCACTAACTGAATCTGTGTGTGTCTTTCAGCCCAGTTGTAAGCTGAAGTGTTGCAGGGTTGAACAATGAATGGCACCAGAGGATGAAGAGGGTCTTCGTAAGAGGGGAAGAAACACATTATCAAAGGGGGTTTTGAGAGATTTGAGGGACACTCAGCTCAAGAACTTCAGCCAAGAAGACACACTGCAGACAAGGCTGACACAAGCTGGGCTAACCTAGGAGACAGGCGTAGATGTGGAGTTGGGCATAAGGCAGAGGGCTTGAAGCCACCTTCATGCTGAGTGTACGATGCAAAAGTAACTGTCCCTGGCAGATGGCTCCCAGGGTCCACTGGACTTAGCTGAGATAAATTTAGAGGCTTTTACTGCCTTGCCGTGAGCACAGGGCAGAGCACAGCAGCCACCCTGCTGCTCAGATCAGTTGTGCTGAGCCCTGCATTGCCGCTGTGATACTGGAAGTGGTTACTGAGGTGCACGGCTCAAAGTGGTGTCAAATGGTGGGACTGGACCCAGCAACGGGTGTGACTGGTGGGACAGCTGGTGGGACAGTGGAGGTGTGGGATGGCAGAGGTCCCTGCCACTGGACTGGGGCTCTCAACTGGGGGTTATGGTCCTACGGGTCACCTACCAAGACAGGTCTGTGAAACCCCAAGTCACTGTCACCGTAAACAATGAAGTCCAGTAATAAAGAGTTGGAGGGGTTTCAGATATGCCTGATACACTGAATAGTTGCATGCATTTTTGGCAGCTGTTTTACTCTCATTCCAGGGTTGGGTTTTTGCAGAATTTCTATCTGGGATGCAGCGAGAGGAGGAAGGGGCTCTGGCAGATTGCTGTGCAGATCAGGGATGTGGCTTAAGGCTACCAGCAACCAGCAGGAGAGATTGGAGCAGCTCTTCCCTACAACCCCGGTGTTGCCTGGAGGTTTTGTGTGGCTTTTGGCCTTTCATCCTATAGACTTTAATTGAGACCTAAAGACAGCAGCTCTAGATGCTCTGTGTAGTCCAGCACCATTCCTGAATGGAGCCTAATAAATCAGATGCCTGCCCTGGGCTGTGGTACGAATCGTTAACATGAATCCAAACCGTGTTGATTCTATGTGTTGATACTGACACTGCCCTGCTAACACACTCTGCAGTAATTGTTCACCTGGTTTTGTTTTTTTTTACAGCCTGTCAGCCCTCTTCCCAGTGACAGATCCCACATTTTTAACATAGAAAATAGTACGGTATCACAGGCTTCCCCATGCCAGCTTCACAAGGAAGTGGAAAATCGAAGAGGTTCCTAGTTTGTTTTTTAACTTCATGTTCCAGCTTCAATGCATTTTCCACCAAAAAATCAGCAGTTCAGCCCTTTGCACTCTCCTAGTTCACATAGCAGGAAGGTAGAGGAAAAGTACCAGAGGGAAATGGACAGGCTTTGCTACACTGGCAATTTTTCTCACTTTAATGTTTCAGTCCCTCCAATGGAGCATATCAGCCCAAATCCATTCACTAAGGTAGATCTGGGCAGTTCTGTTCCAACTGGGGCCACGTGTCCATCTGGGCAATCAGAGCAGGAGGTTGGATGAACACAAGAATGGGAAAAACATCTTTGGGAAGCTGGGGTCATTCTCTTACACTCACATCACACATTTCTTTCCCTGGTCTCTCTCCTTTCTAGCTTCATATCATTCCTCTGGTCACAAGGCAGTGTTTTGAAAAGCCATCAGCAGCTTTCCTGATCCTGCATCGGGGATAAACAGCAAGCCAGGAGGTGACAGTGAAGACTTTGATTTTTCCAACTCAGTAACAGCTTGCAGAGACCTGTCTCCATGCTGGGTGTATCCTCGCACTGGGAGAGCCACTTCTTACATAGAGGCACCTTGCCTGCACCAGTGCAAAGGTCCTGCTGAGGCAGCAGCATTAAAAATTATGATTCATCCTGATTTATTGCACTGGTGCCTAGGGACCAACCCAGATCATCGTTCCTCTGTGCTAGGCATTGTATCAAGCGAGGCATGACACTCCCAGACAAAAGGGGAAAGTCAGAAAGGGAAAAGAGAAAAAGGGAGAGAGAGAACAAATACAGAAGATATTTTGGGTGGATCATTTTCCTCTCCTTTCTCCCCTGCTGACTGCCAGCTTTATCCCACTCACAAACTCCTTCCAGCTCTGGCTAGGCATACTCATCCAATTCTTGTCAAATTATTTCTTTAGCAAACAAATGCAATTTAAAAGGGACTGCAGCTATCTACACAGAAGTCTGTTTCTGCAAAATGCTTAAGAGAAAAGAAAGAAAAAAAAAACATAAACCCCAGGCCATGCTCAGTGGGAGGACACTGTGCTTGATAGTCTTAGGGTACTTGTACTGTTTTTCCCCTTGAGTTTTGAGGGGCAAGCAATCACAGCTGTCTCTCCAGCCCTCATCGCTTCCTAATCAACAGTCTGGATCTCCACAGTAGAGCACTCAAGGCGTTAAAGGAGGGAGTGTGTGCTGCATCCCTCAGCACAGAGCAAAACATCTCACCTAGCAAGAAATCAGCCAGTGTCCAGTTTTGCTGGATTAAAAACACAAAGACACCCTGTAGTCATCTTCCCTGCATGTGCAGCATCCTAACAGTGCTTCAGAGGATCAGCCTGAAGAAGGTCATATTCAGCTTTGGGGTGTGGGGAACAGACACAAGACAAACCCTCAGGATTCAGCTCCTTTGGGACAAGCCAGAAAACCAACCTCCTCATGGGATTAAGAATATGCCCTGGCCTTGGTAAATGGACCAGGAATGTCCTCAGTCCTGCAGGGATGTCTTCTCTGAGACTTCAGACAACAAACAAGGAGCAACAGGGCATTTTGTGCTTGATGTGCACAGGCTACATCTAGATACGCCTATTCCTTATTCAACCACTGCCCACAGACAATCGCTGTTCATCTGCAAGTGCAGTTTCCACCAGTCCTCAGGCATATTGTCCACTACTTGGCACCCAGCAAGAAGACAAACCTCTCTCTTATCCCACCCTCAGAAGGCACAAAGTGCTAGAGGGGCCTCGCTTACCTCTGGGGAGGGGAACTGGGATTTGTTTCCATCGACTGGGGCAACCAAGAGCATGTCCTGCAGGATCGTCGTCATGTGCTGAGCCATGACCTTCTGCTGGTCAACGCTGCAGTGGTTCTCCAGGGAGATGATGACAGGGTATGGCGAGGTCTAGAACAAAAGAGAAATATGCATAATCAGTGAAATTTCACCAGTCTATGGCCATTGATATAATGGCCATGCTGTTCTCTCTGGAAATGAGTGTGTCAAGAGTAGGGTCCAGTATTCTGTTAAAATGAGTATTTGTTTAAAATGGACAAATTTAACTATGCAGTAGCTACTCAGATCCCTGCTGATGCCTTCCAGAGATGATGATCCAATGGACAGGGCACCAGGCTGGGTCAGGATGCCTTCCCCAGACTTGCTGTGGCACTTTGATGAGGCTCCCTGTGCCTCCATTCTCCACTTGCACTGTGTATCAGAGCATCTTTCTACCTCAGAGGAAGGACTGGGAAGGGAGGCTTTGAAACCACTGGGTTTGCTCAAGTCCTTAGGTGACATGATGGACATGAAGGAGGACATCCTTCCTCCTTTCATACATAGGCCTGATCTGGTTCCCTGTGCCTCCTCCTAGTCATTTTGTGTGCCGAAGGCATTGTCATCGTCACTGCTTTACAGCCCCAAAGCTCTGAAATGCACTTTAAGAAAATAGCAGAAAGCCCAGTGAGTCTGGACAGACCCAAGGGTTTTGAAAGACTGCTGGCCCAATACTGCCATAGGAGATTCAAGACCTGCTCATTCCTTTTAAAGCAGAGTAGAAGCAGTCCTTCATATCAGTCCCTCCAAAATGCATGGACATGGGTTCCTCTAAACCAGGACTGGACCCTCAGACATCAAAGCCACACAAATCATGGGCTTGTTTGCGTTTCCCACCAGGTATGCTCAAGATATTGGGCATCGTTTTCATTGCAGTAGGGTCCAGGATGCAGATGTGCTGGAGATAGTGCTCTCCCTGTTCAGCAACTACCAGGAATGCATCTCTGCAGAAAGCAGAACATGGATGCCCAGAAAGAAGGACACACCCTGTACCCATGAGAAATGCTAAGGTGAAGTCTTCATTGTTTATGCTTTCTGCCGGGAGGGCAGAGACCTACTATCAGTCTTGGATTGTGCAATATGAGAAATCTTGGAGGATCCCTCATTCTTACTTTGAAAGCATAGTTCTTGATGGCCTTAATGACATCACTGAAGAGGATCTTGGAGGTGAGAGTGTAGCCATGATAAATGACGGGTTCCGAGTTAGGGCCATCCCAGCAATCCAGTTCCACACAGCGGCAGCCTTTGGTGAGGGCTCTGGAAACAAAGAAGGGACCTGGTTGGGTTCTAAACCTTCTGCTCCATCTCAAAATGAGAGTGCATCAGGCACAGGTATTACCTGGGAAGGCTGATGGAAAGTTTAGGGAGCAAGGGAGAAAAAAGGAGCTTGGAAAAACAGGAAAGAAGATGGAGAAAGGATGGGATCAGGAAAGCTGAGAGTCAGCAAAGAGAGCTCAAGGTTGAGCAAGGAAAGCACAGTGAGATCTGAGAAAGGAGGCAGTGAAAGTCCAAGGTAAGAACTATTCAAAGCAGACAGAGAGTCAGATGAGAAAGGACACTCATGGCTGTGTCCAAAGTCTTTTCCCACCGGTGAAGAGAGAAGAAAAATCAAAAGTGACTGCATTGGAAGAAAGACAGTAAGACAGTCAGCCTTAGAAGCCAGCTCACAAAGCTTGGATGATGTGACTTCTTCATCTAGATCTGATAGGAAATGAGAAATGAATCCTCAGAGCTGTCAGGGAGGGAGCTATGGGAACTTCACCATAGCTGGGGAGACTGCCGAGAGACAGATTCCAAAATTCAGTCTACAGACTGATTTTCCACTTGAAACTCCCGCCTCTACATATCCGCACTTCCATTTTAGTTTACTTTCAAATGTAGGTTCCCCCTCCCTACAAGATAAGTACAGACTTATCTTGTCTAGGAGGTGATCTTGTCTTTTTTACAGTAACTCTCTATATGTTTCAGGTAACACAACTCCTTTAACTCATTGCAGTAAGAATCATGGAATATTCTTTTTTACAACAAAAACACAATTCTGTAATTTTAATATACTGTAAGAAGAATTCAGACAGCTACTGAAAAGGAACTTGTGCCACATTTCACTCTCTACTCTTCTGAGCTTGTGGCTGTAGACAGCCATTGTTCCCTGAGAATCAGATAAGCAATAAACAAAGCCGGAATTGCAGTCATTGGCTTGCTTAGAAGGAAATGCTGTCTCAATTGATAAAAGTACACGTCATAGCAGAAATGATGTAAAGTGGTTGTGAAAGTTAGTAAAGGCCACTGCAAACGTCTGGCCATGAGACATCAGACAGCAGTCATTGTAAAGGCAGAAGTAGGCAACCCCTGATGTTCTGTCCAGGGATGCTGTGGAAGCATCTGAGCCACTAAAGAGGGACCAGGCAAAAATCTCCTGATCACCCACCCTGCTTCATCAGCTCACATCCCACCACTTTTCTTGGACTTCTTCAACTAAGTCTCTCCACAATAACCCCCAGCATGGTTCTAGAGATAGTCCATGCCAGGCAAAAGGCAGCACAGATCGTAAGCATCATGACAGTATGCACCATTTTGGCTGCTTCTGGTCCCTACACAGTCCTGCAGCTCTATCCCAGAAATCTTTGCACCTTGTAAGCTCCTTGCACACATGATCTCATGCCATATCCTGGGGAATGCAACACACCCCCTCAGCATCAGGCTTTGAAAACACCATGCTAGACAGGGCTGCCATCCAGCCTGCACATGATTACAGATATTTTAAACTACTCCTAGATGTAGGTAATTATACACCTTACAGTCCAGTGGACACCACATAGGGCCCAGCAGAGACCCAGGTCAAAGCACTATCAAGAGAGGGGCATGGCCAACCTGGTTTAGAAACAGCTCATCCATGCAACATGGGCCAGCCCACATTACCTGGTCTCAGAGTGCGAGATTGCTTCTTGGTCCCCTTGCCATCTAGCAATATAGATGCACCCTATGTCTTCTATGAGAAAGAGGTCAACCTCTCACACACACATAAACACACACACACATAAATACACACACACACATTACCTGATATAGGCTTCTGTACTGCTTGGACCTGTGAGCTGGTCTTCCATAAGATAGGTATTGTGTGAAGATGACACCAAGTAGTGACTGAGAGGTTGAGTCATGTCCTGGTAAACTTTACGGTGGGAGGAGTTGAATATATTCCCATCATCAGACAGCAGGTACATCAGGAAACCATCCTTGGTCATGGCGTTACCCCTCTTGGCTGCCAGATAAAGAGACAGAAACCCCATACTGAAAGCCTGACCCCACCAGGTTGTGCCATCATCTTCACCATGATCCCTGCTGCTCTCCACAGGATCTTAAAGGCAAAGTGTGCTCACTAGGCATTCAAGGCATTCAGCTAATAGTAAAGTTATTGATGCTGTTCAGATGATGATGACAGCTTCATCTGCCTGGAAATGCTTTTAAAACCTCTTCTCAAGCATGGCTTTTTACTACCTTTGCTGTCCTTGATAACACCTTAAAAGTGTCAAAGACAGCACTTACCTCATCTGTCACTAGAGATATACAGTACAGAAATCTCCATTTGAGCACTTCAAGCTTCCTTCATACCAACACAGAGAAGTTGTCAGATGTCTAAACATAGCCAGATAAATCCTGTCTGGATTATCCAATGAATATATGATTTGCAAAGGGTAAATGCAAAATTACCCAACTTTGGGAAGAAATTGAGATCTTCCTATCCTGAGGGACTGAGCTAGATCTCAATCTAATCCCCAAGTCTGACATCTGCAAAGCATTTACCCTCTCCTGAAGGTATAACACGATAGTGCAAAACCAGCCTATGATCCTGTGTTCATTTCTTGAACATGTCCTCCCAAGTGCTCCAGGGTGGCAATTCACTTAATTCCTGAGCAGAAAGAAAGTTCTGTGATTGGGCTCCTAAACAGCTGTCACCTTCTTGGCCATCTACTCAGAGATCTCATCACCTGATAGTTTTTCAGGTGCCCACATTCAAAAACATCTGCCTCCACTCCTGCTTCTGGAGAACAGAAATACTGCGACATTCTTAACCTTGCAAAGCCACGTGAGGTCTTGGCGTTTGAATAAGCCACCAGAGCCTTTCCCTTGGCCACCCTTCAGCCAACTCTGTATCAACCCCTCTCTAGCTGCTCAGTGTACCCAAACCAAAACTGAAGAGAAATATTTCCCAGGCTCTCCTGTGCCCTCCTCTCCTAGAGCTGCTAATGTTCCCCTAGAAAACGGGTGTTTAGAAGCAGCTGTGAGGAGAAAATGGCACACATGGCTACAGAAGAAAGCAGCAGCAAAGCAATTCATGGTTGATCAAGAAAGCACGATTTTGAACCAAACCAGCCAGGGTTTCCAACCTACCTCTTTCATTGGGTTCATATCTCTGAATTAAGGCAGGGGCAGCAACAACAGCATCTTCTTCTTGTTGCGTCTCATAGAGGAACCTCACCAGATTCTGGCAGGACATGAACCCTTCTGCATCTGAGTACTTTTGGAAGATGTTGTCTATTTCCTTCCTCTCTGTTAGTATCTTGTAAAACTCCTCTATCTCATCATCCTCCAGAGCCTCTGTTTTGGACTTGTCACAGTGCTGTAAACGTAGAGGGGAGAAGGAGTGAAAACCTTCTTTCCTTCTGGCATACGCCAGCCGTAATCTGCACCAGGGCTACACAACGCAGAACACAAAATAATTGGAAACAGTTACTGGTGAGAAGCACTGGGTCAGTGACAATGGTTCTCATTGACAAGGCCAACAGTCACTTAACAGTTACAATTATTACTATTTACTCATATTACTAGTGTGCTGAAAAGCACTGGGCATGGCCTTGAGCTCCACTGTGCAAATCATAAGTTAGAATCAAGACAATCTAAGTGCAAATCAAGCCTCAAGAGAAATGTAACTTTTGATTTTAAGAGGTGTAGGAATATAGGAAACATCTCAATGCATCTTAAACTATTGATAGAGCTCATGGCCTAAAATCCCGTAAGTGAAGTGAAAAGCACCTTCCCCTTGACCTTAGTGGGTCTGTGCTCAGGTCTCCAGAGACTGCCAAGGCTAGTAGTAGGGCTGCTTGCAAAGATGGCATCAAAACCAACTTGAAAAAAAATCCTGCTAAACATGTGCGTGTTTAGGTAATAAAAAATCCCTCTTTCCGTGGAAATTTTTTATTCTCATACAAACCCCACCAAGTAACAAAAAATCTTCACAAAATTTCAGATCAGATATCAGCTTCTCAAGGAGCTGTAATTCAAATTCTTCATGGCCTCATGCTCCTCTGTGGTTTGAACTTCTCCACTAGATAACAGCTCTGACAGAGCACTACAGTCAAGGACTTGACTGGCCATGAAATATGAGGAGTTTAAGATATGTAAGTTAGTGTCTCCGTAAAGAACAACACCTTTCAACAACAAATATTTACAGTTTATTTAAAATATTCCTGGATTCAATTTTTCATCAGAAATTACATTTTTTTTCTGTAGCAAATCCTGATATTAATTTTGTTGTTTGTTCCTAGCAAAGTTCTTCATGGAGAGGTGAACAACTATTTTTCAGTCATCTCTGGGATGTAAACCTCTACATTAAATATGGGCTGCGCAAAACAAGCTGCAATGGAAAGCAAGAGCCTATCTCAAGGGAACCACTTATGGCAGGGAGCATTATACCACTTCCAAGTATTTTTTCCTGCAAATTTCAGCAATCAACCCACTCCTAGTTAATACCTTATTATTATGATGATTCCCTCTCTCTCAATATCTAAAGCAAGCAAACAGCCCCTTAACAGTGGTGTCCTAATCTCACACAGCCCACTCACATCTTACATTTCAGGGAAATGTCATTTTTGGCACCGATGCCAAAACCCCTGCAGGACATGGCTTGCCTTACTTGGTTTTAAGTCTAAAAACTTATCTTCTTCAGGCGTGAACTTGGAACAGAAAGTGTGCCTCCAGGCCACTCAGAGGAGGTTATGGTGCATTTCATTTCACCCTTGCTATGGACCAGTTGCTATCAGTTACTACAATTTAGTTGACAGATGGTAACTTGTCAAACCAGAGGAATTAAATTGCTTTCCATCCTTGATCTCTTATGACAGATAATTGTCCTGGGTTTTACGACCAAAATGCAGGTCTCTGTTTAACCAGGCATCATACTAATCTCAACCTAGCTGCTAATGATCTCAGTGATGGCCACAGTGGCTTCAGCAGTACCCCAAGCAAGACGACAATGAGGGACTTTCATCCCCTGCAAATCCTCCACTATCTGTTTATGGTGCACATATAAAACCAAACAAAACGATCATGACAGACAGCATTTCACAAACTAAACCAACAACAAAAAGTTCAACTTGTCCTGACTTCCTGGGCAGAAGCTATGGGTTCATCTCAGGGATGGGACAACCTATGAAATGCTCAGTACTACAGACACCTTCGAATTAGGTTTAAGCAGTCCAGGAACTGTCTTTTTCTTGCTGCCTTCCATGTCTATGGTTCTGTGCTGTGGCTTTGGCAGATCTCATAAGCTAAGCTGAGCATGATGCTTAGCAATTGAAAAAGGAATATAAAGAGGGAAAACAACTGGATTCCATGAATGACAGACATATAAGACACAACAGGGAAAATGACATGATATTACTTCTAGAAAACTGGCATCATAAGTGATGTGCCTTGGGAAGTTTGTTCATTAGTGGCCATTAAAGGTTGTGATGGAAATAGGACAAGAGCACTGGCATCATAGTCATCTTCCGAGATGGACGAGATGCACAGTGTAAAAGTGAGCTCCTCTTGCTTGGGCTACAAGAGCTCCAAATCAGGAGGAGAATCCCAATCCAAAATACTGTGTTTTACCTCACTTGTATGGATCAGGAACCATGAGTTCTGAATGAACCTCGGTCTGCCAGAAAAAGTTAGAACCTTTCACATGCATCAGAATGAATACTGAGGTTGAAATGAAGTGAGCAATTAGAGGAGCTCTGCACAGTTTCTGGCTCAGGTGTATCTACAACCTAGACAAGGATGCAGAGTTATGAGATGAAAAGCAAGAATAATGTGAGAACCTGCCCTGTAGCTTTCTCTTCAATCCTTGATCACCTTTCCTTCCTGTGCCTAAATGAAGAAACACTCACCAGGACAGAAAAGATCACCCTTTGAGTCCATCTAAGTTCAGGCAGTATGTGAACTGAAAATGTAATTGCTTTAGGAGCAGGACTCTTCCTGGAGGCAAGAGATCTGAATTAACCTCCAAAGAGCCTCTCTTTCCAGTGGCTATACAGGAAATTTGTAACAATTACATGCCTAATGAGGGTACTTCAACCAGATGCCTGCATTTAGATGTCTTGAATCAAGGTTTAGTAATTACTTGAGTCCTTAAGCAAAAAGAGAATTGAACTTCATCAAGTTTCCACTCCTAGAGCACCCTTGTAACTATTGCAATAGCAAAAGAGGTTCATTGAACGAGAAGGAGACTCCGCCTCTAGAAAAAGGATGTCTTTTCATATTTCTGATGTTTAAAGATGTAGGGAGTGATTGATCTGACATGTGTGATCTTTAGGATGAAGTGAATCACACTCCGGTCTCCATTACTGGCTTGACCTACACAGACTGCACCAGGAACTGTAAGTGTTGGTCACTACTTCCAATGTAGATGTCTGGAGACATCTCACTCAATCAGAGGAATCCTAGCCTTATTGATATTCTTCTAGTTTGTCCTGACCAGGGAATAAAGCATGGGATATGCCAACCAGAGCAGGTAGGACATCTGGAAGATTTTTTGCAAGCTGAAATTCTTTAAGATCTGCTGATGACCTTCTTGCAGTTACCAGAGAGAGGGAGACGCACAAAGCAAGGATTAGGAAACTTGCACCTCCTTTGGGGGAAGGTCCTAGTGAGACCTTCTGCTAACTGCTTACAGGAAAGAGCAGGAGAACTACTGCCTGGTGCTCAAAACCACCCACATGTTTACCACTGATCAGAAAAAGCATTTCTGAAACTCCACACCCATGAACTCAAATCCTGCTTCAGACAGGACAGAAGTTTGGAAATTATCCAGATGTTTTATCTCACCTCTGCAGGAAGGCTTCTTTAGGGAGAAATCAAAAGCTTAACAACTGAGAAATTTTCATCCCTTCCTTATCCTCTGATAGGCTCAGCCAGCAGGCCAAATCTTGAGAATTCAGAGTGTATGTCCCTGACCAGATTAAATATGCCTTGGGCTATTAAGTCAACCAGACTGGTCCAGGCTTGGGTGCAATGTTACATCATGAATCTGGGGGTTTTTTTCCCTAATTTGCACTTTCTTTTTGTTTACACCTGTCACTTGGCACCCTCCTCCTCTGAGAAAGTGAGGATCTGAGTTCGTAATTGTAACCAAACCAATTTCATCCAGACTTAGTCATCGACATGTGGTTGTGGCACGCAGAACTCCAGAAACACCTGGGACTCAAAGACCACTTGAAATTTGCTTTTCCCTTTTTCTTGCATTATCCATATTTACATGTCATCTTCTCTGAATCTTGGCAAAATTGGGCATCAATGGTAAAGACAAGCCTTAACACACCTTCATCAAAAGCACTGAGCTGGCCTAACTTCGTTATTAGTGGGAACCTGCTGAGCATCAAAAACGAAGAGTCTTCCTTGGTACAAGAAAGGACACCAGCAGTTCAACTTTAGCTTAGGTCTCCAACCAAAGCTGCGAGCTGTGGGAGACCTTGACCTCAGCCAACAGCGACTACTTTATCTGGTTGCTCTCATTACCTGGAAAATTTTCTTGGCATGATAGTCATCAACTTCGATGTTCACTTCTTTCAGGAAGTCCTTGAGCTCCTTCAAGCTCATTTTGTTGTCTTTGTTTTTATCAGCTTTCCGCAGGCAGGTATGAATCCAGCTGCAGGATGATGTAAGGAAATCTTTCCAGGTCAGTGCCTAGCCTAAATACCACCCCCTTCTGCTGCCCGTGGTGGGGGGGAAATATCTTCTAAAGACTCTGAACCACCTCTCCAGCTGCTGCAAACCAGCGTGCTACCACTGAACAGCTTACATCATCTCACCTTCTGCTCTGAAAGAGCAAACTGGTGCCTTGGCAGAAGCAAAATGTGCTGTACAACAAGTGATCATGACCCAGGAGAAGCTTTTCACCATCTGGCCAAGGCTGGATCAGCTCTCTTTACTCTGTAGGAGTTTCTGGCCACAGCCAGAAACAGTTTGATTTCTCTTTTATCACAGAAAGTGCATTCTGCTCGACTGTTAAAAGGGGTTAGAGGAAGGATGAAAAGAGCTCCCAAGTGGAGCTTGGTAAACACATTGTTACGGATTTGATCAACATTCAGTATATCAAGGTGAACACTGAACAGAGATTCTCCAAAAGATGTATTAATATTAACTGTTGGATTCACCTTCAGCTTCCATATTTTTTTAAGGATTTCTACCTATATGTCTTAAGAACTTTGTCATGAGCAGAATCAAACCAAACTTTGTGGGTCTTGGCTTCTCACGAAATGCACAGGGTCTATTACTGTATCATACTGGAATAATAGTTCCTAAGAGCTTGGTTTGTAATAACTTCAGTATGTCTATGGATCTGGAGTAATTACTACAAAAAATGAGCTTTTTAATGTGATGCCAGATAATCTGAACTGGGTCTCCCATGTTCTTTCAGTCTCTTGGGAAAATAATGTTAGATAGTTGAGATACCTTGCAGTTTTAGACAACAAAAAGCCATGATTTTTGCATCATGGAACTGACTCTCCAATTTGATTTACTATCATGTAAGAAAGGTAATCCAGAAAAATATCCTATTTTTCAATAGAAAAATGAGCAAAGTAACAGTCTGATCTCCCCGAATGCAACCTTCCACATCTTGCATAGGAAGCGTTCCTTCAAACACATTCTAAAAAAATCCTTTTAAAATGCCCAATCTGGATGTTAAGCAGAGTAAACCTCAGGATTAGCAAATACCAGCTGAGGAATATGATACCGTAATATTTTAACAGAGCCCTTCAGAATAACCCCAAAAAAGGGCATTAACTGACAGCCTTACGAGCTGTAAACGTAATCCTAAAATAGAGTATTCACCACAACTACCACTGCATTCAAATGTTTCTGAGCTATGGAGATATGTGTAAACTGTTTGTAAGGATTGTTTGTCTCCCGGAAAGTCGAACTTTCTGTCTTTAAAAATCTTGGCAGGTGCTAAGCAATGACCTCACACCACATCCGTCTTAGCCTAGTAATATTAATATTCCCCTTCTTCAGACACAGAAACCAAAATAAAGACAGGCTGCATTTCCCCAGCTCTCAAAGACACTTCAGGTCCCTGAATCAGGGTCTGACTTAGACTAATTCTTCCCAGAAAGCCAAGTTCAAGTCATGAAGCTCCCATGTGCAGAGGATGATCTGCTGGGAGGACACCACCATCCAGCCCAGGGTGGAGAACACCCCCTGCACCAGCTGTCCTCCAAAGAGCATCTGCTCAGCATGTCAACATGGTGCCACCCGTTCACACCTGACCCCAACACCTCAGGTTGCCTTTACAGCCTTCCCTAAAAATAACAGTTTGTCACAGCCAGAGGCGAGTAGCAGGGTTGGATAACACTAACTGTCTGCAGAAAAAAACCGCTCTTTTTGCTCCAACCACTGCAAAAACCCACCTTTTTTGACAAGTCTACAGTCATTCCCACCGATCATGAGCACCCAGAGGTCATGCACATATCCCAAGTCGACTCTGGAAGGCAATATGTGGGCAGTAAATGCATCTGAAAAAGATTATACTCAGGTCCTGCCTGCAGTTGGAGGATGCTTTCCTCCTTTATCCCGTCCAGGGAGGCTGAGCAATGTGGGAGGGAAGTCAGAGAGTCCATTAAGAGCAGAGGCACACCGAGGGCCCTCTTGCTGCAAGGGCAAGCAGCAAAGAGAGACAAAGGAGACTACAGACAACTGGAGCCTCAGTCCCCAAACCACCCAAACTCTCCATCCATTTGGATCCCCTCAGGTTTGAGTGAGCTTAGAGGAGCCGGATGAACCAAGCACCTCAACTGAAATTCTTCTCGTCTGATACAAACACCATTTTGCAGCCCTGGTTGCGGGTCTTCCTTTCACCTCAACACCCCTATTTGGGCCTGGGCAGGAGAGGAAAAAGCTGTTCCCATTTCTGTATACATCCGGAGAGAGCCTGCTTCCTACCTCTTGTTTTTAAAGGATCTGCCAGCTTCAGGGCTACCAGCTTTCTATGAGAAACCAGAGAGGGATGACTGAAACCATCTGGCAGGCATCCCACGAATGTACTCAGAACAGAAATGCTGCAAAACTTCTGGTAAGTGATTTCCAACCAGAAGAAAAAGCTCATACATAAATCCCAGAATCGAAGCAGACGGTGCCACACTACTCAAATGAAAAGTCCTCTGTATTTTCTGGTCTAAAGTCTTCCCTGCACACATACCTGCAATATTTGCTAAATAACCTATGCCAGCTTGTTGCAGGGTTGAATCTGAGGCTTCATAAAACAGTGCTGTGTGCATAAGAACATCAGAAGTACTTATCAAGCATGAGGGAGTTTTATCTCTGTAGGAATATAGGATGGAAAGGACACACGAGACACTAAATCAAGTTCCTTAGTACCACAGGCAACTCCATCATCTTATAAACTGAACAAACCCCATCTGAAATGAGCAAGGTTTTGGCTTTCAGTACTTGTTTTCAAAATCTTGCTCATTCCTCACTTGCTTTGCAAGGTTTTAGAGGCTGGCAAAGGTACACTGCAAGGCAATCCTCCAGTCATGGGGGACAGCCAGGGGACCCAACACTTCTCCTTGTCTACTGACTCTTCCCCTTCTGTGCTCACAGATGCGGAGAACACTTCTGAGGCTTAAGGAAGATCTGAGGAAACCCACGCTGTCAAGCAAACCCGGTGAAGACAGCCTAAATTTAAAATCCCAGGCTTTAATTAAACATCATCAAATTTCAAATGAGAAATCATGCTGTGCTGTAATTCCAGGTTACGTTAAACGGCCTGAGACAATCCCAGATTGGAAGCCAGCACTGCACAGTAATTACTCTTCCAGAAATACGGCTTGCCTACCCACCCTATTTAGCTTCAGATCTGCTTTCCAAAGACAGAGAGGCACTTTTCCACGCTGGAAATTTACAGCCTTCTTCCCTTGCAAATGTCATTGTTATTTTTCCCCCCTTAGCAATCTCATCTCTTCTTATGGGGAAGTTTTTCAGTAGTATAGACAATTTGACATGCTCCAGGGACAACTTTCTGTAGCCCAGATTTTCCCCACACACTGTAGGGTGGGGGAAGCCTCCACATTTAAAAGGAAAATTGCCAGGGTGCAACATTTCCTACAGCACCAAAGTTTCAAGATTTCAGCTTGGCTAGGGACTGCTGCCTACCACCAGAGGTACACAACTGATAACACTGCTGCGGAATGACCTTACAGCCTAGAGCTTGAAAAACCATCCAAAAAGACACTCATCGTGCAGGAGATGAACACAGCATCCCATGCACAGCCTAATGGAGTGTGATTCCTTTAAACTAACAGCACTACGGTTGTGCAAGTGCTTATTAGACTCCAGAGAATCCACAGAAGAGTAAAGCCTGATGAAAGCTCAGCATTTATGTGCCACCTCCTTCACCATCAGTACATTACTCTGCAGCAGGGAACCCCCATGGAGTGAAGCCTTGTCTGAGGGCAAGACCCCCTGGTGCCTGCTCAGGCTGAGGCTCCAGCTTGGTGATGGTCCCCAGCTGAGGATTTTGCCTCTCCCCTCCTTTCCACAGATGCTTTGATGCTGAACAAGGCATGAAACTCACGCAGCCTTCTCTCACCGAGTACACTATCTGGTTTTCTCTCTGATAGCTGGCTGCCTATTTTTGTGAAGCTTAAAGGAACTTAATATTTTATGACTGCTGCGGCTCTGTCAAATCAGGGTAAAAATCAGCCAACAGGTTCATACATCACGGTCAGGGCCTCAGACACACTGGGACTGCAGAAAATCCATCAAAAACTGCACGCACAGATAGTCTCTCTTTTTATACGGATGCGAGACCTGTGTTTGTAAAGCAACTTATTGAGTGAAATGCAGCCCTAGGGAAAACTCCCTGTGAATTCAGCAGAGCCAGGATTTCGCTCAATAACTCACTCTCCGTCTCACGACTAATTCACTCTCCTTTCCTGCTCTGATACTTTTCCTTTCCGACATCTGCATTGTCACTAGAGCAATTGCAGATTCTTCCAGGGCAAAACTTCCTCCCATGCTGAAGCAAATAAGGAGTAATTTCACTAATGTCAGTGGAGCTCCCCCTCAGAGTAAATTTGGCAGTCAGAAGAGGAGAATCAGTTCCCTCGCCTTGTATTACTGAGAAACAAGATCAACAGTACAGGCTTTTCATGCCCTGCCAAGAAGTCCTGGAGTTTACTGCAATGGAAGTGAAACAGACCCCTGAAGAATATAAAAAATAATGATTGTTTTATCTGGAGCTCCCTGAAAGAGGCAATTCTTTGCTTACGGAGCTATGTGAAGCCTGAATCCACTCTTGCTTGTATCACTGTAAAACAGGGAAAAAAAGCATTGGAAACCAGGGAGTTTGCCTGGGTGCAAAAATCAGTGCGAGAGAAAACTCGGTGCCCAGGGCCAATAGGAAAAAAGGAGGTTAGTCTACTATCTCCACCCGCAGGGAAAGACAAGTGCATCTTTGTGTGTGATTAATCATTTTATAAGGCAAAGGATACTGTTGGAGTTTCTGTTTCTGGTTCATGGAGTTGCTGTGGGCTATGATTTTCCCAAGACCGGAGATCCAGTGGTTGGCATCGTCCTCTGAACTTGCAATGAGGTCCAGGTTTTTCCGCTGGTCTTTGAAAATGATGGAAAAGCAGCGATACTCTGGGACATCCTTGGCGTATTTTTCCATACCTTCTGTTTTATGGCCTGACCTCACATCCCGAATATCTTCAATGGAGACTGTGGAAAGAAAGCAGAGCCTGCTGTCAGCAG